GTGACACTGATTACAATCCCCACAATGTAACAGCTTTCTTCCTACTTCCTCCCTGTGGTTAACTTTTTCCTGTGGCCTTCTTTCCTATGTGTTCCTACCTCCCTAGCTTTCTCCCTGTGCAAATGTTGCCCTTCTGATCCTCCATTAGAAGCATGGTTGATGATTCTAATGAGTGCACATCCCTGGAGTAATTGGTCAGCTCGTAGGCTTGTCTATTGTTTGGATGAGTTGTTAAACAATGGGCCTGAGTTCAGTTTCAGGCCCAAAGGGTGTCTAGGAGCCATAGCCTTGGGGGGTTCACCAGTCTCTATCCTACCAATAATTCTGATCTTCTTGTGACTTGGAATTTTATTGCACATTTTTCTCCCAGTTTATCCAGGATCTCCAATTTTGATCCCTTTCTGAGTGGTTGGGCAGTGATAGTCAGGCACCATCTAGTTCTTCAGGTCTCAGGGTGATGGAGGCTGAGGTCCTAAGGTCCATTAGTCCTTTGGACTAATTGTTTCCATGTGTCTTTGATTTTCTTGACTTTCTTTGCTCCAGAAGAAGAAAGATCAATAGTTGCATCTTAGATGGCTGCTGGCAAACTTTTAAGACCTCAGTTTCTACTCACCAAAGTAGGATGTAGAACGATGTTTTTGTGCACTTTGTGCCAACTGAGCTTGATGTCTCCCCATGATCATGCATGGTTTTCTAGGTAGATTCATCGATAGATACAGAAATATAGATATAATGCCTGTGTATATGTGTGTATACCTATACCGGTAAGTATATTTACCTATACCCATAAGCATAGTCCCTAGCTCTGTCTACTGAAGCCTGAGAACAACAATACTCCAATGGTAATGAACACATCTAGCACATAGCTCTTGGCTTCTAAATTCCACTTTCCACTAAAAGAATTAAGGTTCCTCAGAGAAATGTTCCAAAAGCAGAAAAGTGTTCAAAGAATGATTTGGCTTATCAAAGAGACACAGAAGCCAACTTGAATGGGCTCCCAATGGCCAAATCAGCGATAGTTTGAAGATCAAATTAATGACAGTAAACCAAAATAAAAAAAACTAAACTCACTGACCTCGAGTCAAATTTGACTCATAGCAACCCCTCCTTGGTTTTCCGAGGTGGTATCTCTATGGAAGTAGATTGCCCAATCTTCCTTCCAAGGAGTGGCTAGTGGGTTTGAACTGCCAGCCTTCTGGTTAGCAGTCTAGTGCCTTAGGCACTATGCTACCAGAGCTCCTTCACTGGTGATTGGAATGCAAAATTTGGAAGCAAAGAAGAATCACCAGTAATTGGAAAATATGCCCTTGGTGAAAGAAATGATGCTGGAGATCGCAAGATAGAATTTTGCAAGACCAACGACTTATTCATTGCAAATACTTTTTTCAACAACACAAACGGTGGCTATACACATGGACCTCACCAGAGAGAGCACATAGGAATCAGATTGACTACATCTGTGACAAGAGATGATGGAGAAACTCAATCTCTTCAGCCAAAACAAGGCCAGGACCTTACTGCAGAACAGACCATCAACTTCTCATATGCAAGTTCAACTTGAGGCTGAAGACAATTAAAAGAAGTTCACAAGCCCAAAATATGACCTTAATTCTATCCCTCTTGAATTTAGAGACCATCTAAAGAATAGATTTGATGCATTGAACATCAATGACCAAAACCCAGAGGAATTGTGGGATGACATCAAGAACATCATCCACGAAGAAAGCAAGAGGTCATTAAAAAGACAGGAAGGGAAGAAAAGACCAAAATGTATGTCAGAGGAGACTTTGAAACTTGCCTTTAAATGGAGAGTAGCTAAAGTGGATGGAAGAATCGACAAGAAAAAAGAGCTGAACAGAAGATTTCAAAGAACACCTTGAGAAGACAGAGTCAATTATTATAATGAAATGTTGCAAAGACCTGGAGTTAGAAAACCAAAAGGGAAGAACATGCTAGATATTTCTCAAACTGAAAGAAGTGAGGAAAAAAATTTAAGCCTTGAATTGCAATATTAAAAGATTCCATGGACAATATGTTGAATGATGCAAGAAACATCAAAAGAAGGTGGATGGAATGCACACTCACTATACCAAAAAGAACTGGTAGATGATCATCCATTTCAGGAGGTGGTGTATGATCAAGAACCAATGGTATTGAAGGAAGAAGTTGAAGCTGCACTGAAGAAAGTGGCAAAAAACAAGGAATTGACAGAATACCCATTGAGATGTTTCAACAAACAGATGCTGCGCTGGAGGCATTCACTGGGCTATGCCAAGAGATTTGGAAGACAGCTACCTGGCCAACTGACTGGAAGAGATCCATATTTGTACCCATTACAAAGAGAGGTGATCCCAGATAATGTGGAAATTATTGAACAATATCATTAGTATCACATGCAAGTAAAATTTTACTGAAGATAATTCAAAAATGGTTGCAACAGTATATTGACAAAGAACTTCCAGAAATGCAAGCTGGTTTCAGAAGAGGACCTAGTGCCACTCTGACAAGAATATACCACAAATGGGATGGCTTTAACAAACAGGAGTTTATTCTTATAATTTTTGGAGGCTAGAAAGTTCCAAGTGCCAGGTTCTAGGGCCTGTGTGAAAGCCTCTTAACCTTGGTATTCAGCTCTGCCTCTTGCTCCCGGCTCACTGAAGCTAGAGGCATCTCTTCACTCAAGCAGCTCCTGGCTGCTGAGGCTAACAAGCCCAAGGTCGACAAATAAAATGGCATAGTCCCGATGTTACGTGGCAGGCCATTTATTCAAGTCCACTGAAAGTCCCAAGGTTGGCAGAGCATGGCAGGCTGTTAAACAATGACATGGCTATATGCAGGGTTCAAGCATGCCATAAGCTAGAGACCATTCCTCAAAGTTGCTTCTTGTATATGGGAAGCACACCACATTCCTAAAGCAGCTACTCATCTGCTTGTGGTAGATCCCATCATGGAGTTGAATGCCACTCTTATTATGGGGAGTAACTACCACCAGCTGCCCAGCCACTCAACCAGGCCCAGCCAAGCTGACACATAACCTTAACAACAACAAGATTGTCAGATGGATCTTGGCTCAAAGCAAAGAAAGATGTTTACTTGTATTTTAATGATTATGCAAAGGAATTTGATTGTATGGATCATAACAAATTGTGGATAAAACTGAGAAGAATGGGAATTCCAGAACACTTAATCGTACTCATGAGGAACCTGTACATAGACCAGAAGGCTGTCATTCGAACAGAACAAGGGGACACTGCATGGTTTAAAATCAGGAATGGAGTGCATCAGGTTGTATTCATTCACCATACCTACTCAATAGGAGTGCGTCAAGTTGTATTCATTCACCATACTTATTCAATAGGTATGATGAGCAAACAATCAAAGAAGCTGGACTATATGAAGAAGAATGTGGCATCAGGATTGGAGGAAGTCTCATTAACAACCTGAGATATGCAGATGACACAATTTTGCTAGCTGAAAGTGAGGATGACTTGGATCACTTACTAATGAAGATAAAAGATTATAGTCTACAGTATGGATTACACCTCAACATAAAGAAAACAAAAATCCTCACAATGGGACCAATAAGCAGCATCACGACAGATGGAGAAAAGATTGTAGTTATCAAAGAATTCATATTACTTGGTTCAACAATCAATGTCAATGGAAGCAGTAGTCAAGGCATCAAAAGGCATATTGCATTGGGCAAATCTGTTGTAAAAGACCTTTTTCAAGTGCTGAAGAACTCAGATGTCTCCTTGAAGACTATGATGCATCTAACCCAAGGCATGGTATTTTCAATCACCTCGTATGCATGTGAGAGCTGGACAATGAATAAGAAAGACTGAAGAAGAGTTGATGCTTTTGAGTTGCAGTGTTGGTGAAGAATGCTGAAAGTACTGTGGACTGCTAAAAGAACTAACAAATCTGTGCTGGAAGAAGTGCAGCCAGAATGCTCCTTCTAATAGAGAATAACTAGACTTTGACTCACCTACTTTGGTCATGTTGTCAGAATAGACCATTTTCTGGAGAAGGATGTCATGTTTGGTACAGTGAAGGGTTGAAGAAAGAGGGGAAGGCCCTCAACAAGATGGTTTGACATGGTGGCTGCAGTGATGGACTCAGGTATAGTAGGGATCATGAGGCTGGCACAGGACTGGGCAGTGTTTCGTTCTGTTGTACATAAAGGTTGCTATGAGTCAGAAATGACTCAGTGGCACATAATAACAAACAAAAAATGCTGATGGTATCTGGATTGGGATTGCTTTGGGTAGTATTGACATTTTCACAACATTCAGTCTTCCTATCCATGAACAAGGCAGGTTCTTCCATTTATGTACATCCCTTGTAGTAGTGTTTTATAGTTTTCTTTGTATAGGTCTTTTGTGTCTCTAGTAAGATTTATTCCTAGATATTTTATTTTTTTGGTATTGTTTTCCTTATTTCCTTTTCAGAATCCAAAACAAGAGTCTATTATGATGTAATATATAAATGAATGCATTGAAAGCTTGATGGAGAATGGAGTATTTACAGTTTCAATTAACTCCCCATAAGATACTTATTAATTACAAAGTAACTTATTAATTATAAAGTAATATCTATTAATTACAAAGTAATAATAAAAAATGTAATGTGCCAGAGGAGAAGTCTGGCAGATACCCTCTTAATAATCAAAATGATCATCATCAGTAATGGAACAAATTGTAAACATGTGCCAACTGATAGGATGGGATGAGAACAATGTAGCATCAATTCTATGATATTCCCATCAAAGCTGCATAACTTGAATCCAGTCATGAGTAGACATTAGACAAACCAAATTGAGAGACATTCTAAAAAATTCTGTAAACCTTCAAAATATCAAGATCATGAAATCAATGAAATATTGAGGAACTATTCCAGAATGGAGAATCGTATCACTGTCAAGGCTAGACTCAGGCCCCTGGGAGACCCAATATATCATTTCTGAAGGGCTCCTGGGGTCTCATGTCAGTTTCACTTACCAAGACTAGCCTCAGACAACAGCAAGTAAGCAGGTACAAGCTCTACTGAACTCAGGCCATGCATGTTCATACGGAAGCGAAGAGAATGCAAAGCTGCTGGAACAGCTTCTTCATGTTTTCCTTCAAAGAGGTATTTCTGGGCTACAGTGTAGCAGAATTCAATCAAATGTTTCTGTGGAAGAAAATAAAATAAGTGTATAAGACAGTCTAAATATAAGTCAAAGGAGGATATAGATATACCTGGAGATAAAATCAACACCTAATTAACTGGTTGCAGACACATAGTGAGTCAGCCTGCATTCCACTGGACATGTGACCCCAGAGAGGTGATATAACAAGGGCAAAATCTGGACTCTCAGTTCCTCAAGGCCCAGGAAAATGTGTATTTTCATTTTCAGTGCTTGGAATATGATTGTTCAATATTAAGTTGTTAAATGAATGAAAACAAACAAACAAGTAAGACCCAAACCTACTGCTGTCAAGTTGATTCTGACTCACAGAGACCCTAAAGGGCAGAATAGAACTGCCTTATAGGGTTTCCAAGGCTATAAATCTTTACAGAAGCAGACTGCCACATCTTTCCCACATGAAGTGGCTGGTAGGTTTGCATTATCAACCTTTCAGTTAGCAGCCAAGTGCTTAACCACTGTGCCACCAGGGCTTCATTAAATTAATAAATAAATATTATTCTTATATTCCCAATAAAACTTGAGTTTAGCAGAACTGCCATGTCTCCTGACTATCTACAATTTTCTGCCTTTCTATTTGAACTAATTTTGGGAGAAACCTCTTATTTTTCCTATCGGAATTATCCTGTTTAGCTAATACCAGAAGTAACTTTGTGCTGTTTTACCACCCATCAACACTAAGATTGTTAAGAATGGTGTTTAGAGATATATGGTTTATAAAGGGCTTTTTGTTTATTTATTTATTTATTTTAGAGTGATTGAGATGCTGTCAATGCCATAGAAATAGGAGCTATTTTTCCTGCTCCCCTTTACTCCTTCATTCACACATCACATATTGATCTCCCAGACTCTGGTCATGTTGTTAGAAGGGACCAGTCTCTGGGGAAGGCTATCATGCTGGGTAAAGTGGAGGGTCAGCGAAAAAAGGGAAGACCCTTGACAAGATTGACACAGTGGCTGCAACGATGGGCTTAAGCATGGCCGTGATTGATGGTGAGGACAGCGCAGGACTGGGCAGTGTTTAGTTCTGTTGCACATAGGGTCACTATGAGTCAGGACCAACTTGACAGCACCTAATAACAATAGTTAAGTGGTCAGGTTCTCATATCACAGTACTTAGCATATGCCAGTATTTGGTAAATATATGGAGAACATATTACGAATGGAACTGAGGATGAAAAAACATAAAACAAAATCTCTACTATCAAGGAACTTACAATTTATTTATTTGAACACAGAGCAACCCTTGTTCTGGGCTGTTTCACTGTGCCCAAGGGTTAACCCTGTAATAGCTAACCCTGGACAGCATACCTGCCGCTGCTGCAGCTGTTGCAGACCATGCTGCCGTTCTTCCTCTGAGTTGTAGAAGGGCATGGAAGTGCGCAGCGGGATCAGGAGCTGGCATATCTTCTCATGGATGCTGCCCCAGTCAGCTCTTTGATGCACCACACCACTGACAATAAAGACATGGACTTCGTTATCTTTACCTGTGGCCTAAGCCAAGACCTAAAATCCTCTAGACTTAGCTCTAGACACCAAAAAAGTAAGCCCAAATGCAAACCAGGCAGGAAGCCAAAGTCATTTCTAAGACACAAATCTCATTTCTTTCATGTGGTTATTTGAAGATGTAGAAAATGTGTTGGAGTTGGGAAGAGATCGGGGAGGGTATTGTTCCTGAAAGCTGATGATCAAATTCCAAAGGCACACAGCGATGCCATGGCTATTCTGCTTAGTTAATAACAAAAAAAAGACAGCTTTAACTCTGCATTGTTCTGAGGCCATTTTCAAAATGTCTGAAGACTGAAGTTGATGGATCTGAGGATCTTTCTTGTGGGGAAGCAAGACACATTACAAACATGTTTTTCTGTAACTGAGACCACCATATTGCCCAGCTTGGCTTGAAAGCATCATTCACATTTTAGTCTCTGCTCCAGGGCTGCCACTCACACAGAATTTACACTGTGAACCACCCAACTGGAACCAACCCCATCCCCATCTCCAGTGGTGCAGCAAGTGGCCTTGGGTGTAACTATTTCACTCTCTGAAAACAAAATAAAATCTGTTATTACCATTTTAAAGGAAATGCAGATGTGAAGAGTAGCTACTCTCACGCTGTACTCCAACACGTTTTTAATCCCTCAAGAGGGAAGCACTGTGATTGTTTGGTATATAATTTTCCGTTTTACATGCATATTTAGTATTTTTAAATACTCAGTTGGACAGCACATGTGTAGAACATTTCAATCATTGTAGAAGGGTTTGTTAATCTTTTCACTCTTTTTGAGAATTAATTCACATACCACAAAATTCATCATGCAGAGTTACACCTATGTTTCCTTCTAAGAGTTTCATAGTTTTAGTTTTTTATTTAGGTGTTTTATCCATTCCGAGTTATTTTTGTATATGATGTGAAGTAGGGGTCCAACTTCTTGTGTGATCCAGTTGTTTCAGCACCATTTGTTGAAGAAACTATTCTTTCCTCCATTGAATGCTCTTAGCACCTTTGTTGAAAATCCATTGACCATACATGTATGGACTTAATTTTGGACTCTCAATCTTATTCCATCACTTTATATGTTTATCCTAATATCAGTACCACACTTTCTTGATTACTTTAAGTTTCTTTTTGAAATTGGGAATTGTGAGTCCTTTGTTCTTCTTTTTTACAATTGTTTTGGCTATTCTGTCATTGTTGTGTGCCATCGATTTCAACTCAGAGTGAGCCTATAGGCAAAGTAAAACTATCCAATAGGGTGTTCCTAAGTTGTTATCTCCATGGGGACAGATTGACAGGTCTTTGCTCCCAAGGAGTCACTAGTGGGTTCAATTAGCAGCCAAAGACTAAGGATCAGCTTCCCGATCTCTGAGAAAAAAAGGCAGATAGAATTCTGAAGGGATTGCACTGAATCTGTACATCAATTCAAAGGGAAGAGGGAGTAGTGCAATCTTAGCAACATTAAGTTTTCTAATTCATGAATATATCTCTTCACTTAGATCTTCTTTTATTTCTTTCAACAATGTTTTAGTTCTACTGTAAAAGTCTTGCACTTCTTTGGTTAAGTTTGTTCCTAAGTATTTTATTTTAATGCTATCATAAATGGAATTTCACTTTGAGATTGTTTATTGCTAGTGTGTAGACATACAACTGAGTTTTTTGTATTTATATTGATATTTTATCCTGCAGCTTTGTTGTACTCATGTATTAGCTCTAATATTTTTGAGGATTTTTTTTACAGTTTTATATATAGAAATCATTTAATTGCAAATAGAGATAGCTTTATTTCCAATTTGAATGCATTTCATAGTCTTGTCTAATTGCTCCAGCTAAAACTGCAAATAGAGATAGCTTTATTTCCAATTTGAATGCATTTCATATTCTTGTCTAATTGCCTCAGCTAAAACTTCCAGTACAATGAAGTGGCAACAATGGACATTCTTGTCTCATTCCTGATCTTAAGGGGAAAGCTTTCAGTCTCTACCATTAAGTATGTTGACTGTAGGTTTTCATGGTGGTGGTGGTGTGCGCCCCCCAGTCAATTCTCGCTCACAGCGATCCTATATGACAGAGTAGTACTGCCCAATAGGGTTTCCTAGCTTGTAATCTTCACTACAGCAGATTGCCTGGTCTTTTCTCCCATGGAGCCACTGGTGGGTTTGAACAGCTAACCTTTCAGTTAGCAACTGAGTGCATAACCATTGCATCACCAGGCCCCTTTTGGTTTTTTCATAGATGTTCTTTATCAACTTGAGGAAGGTCTCTTCTGTTCCTAGTGTTTTTTAACCATATTCTCAAATGCTTTTTCTGCATCTTTTAAGATGATCATGTGGTTTTTTTGATCCTTTATTTTATTTTCAACTCTTTTAACGTCTGATTTATGTATTTTGGGGCTCTTTCATTGGGTCCATAAATATTTATTATG